AATGTGTCGGTAGAGCCGGATCAAGCTGATTAGAATAAATGGACCTCATTTGTAGGTGTTATTCACCCTTTACACAACAAACATTTCTTTGTGAACAGTTGCAGTTACAATCATTACCTATAAACTAAGCGTTTCCTCGTGGCTGTAAAGTGGTGTGTGTGCCCCACAACTTCGGCTTCGGTAGGGTGGATAGTGTTTGAATTATTTTGGAATGACCAACGACAAGCTCGTTCGCTTGGCGAATAATGCAACACTATATCCCTTATTCATCACTCTTAATTCTTTCAGTCAGTCAAAAGGCAGTTATTTCACATCGGTGTGTTTTATACGGCACGTGAAGGAAGCGCCATTGTTAATGCGAACGAGTGGGAGATGGGAGGTATCAACTTGCTTAGCTTTCACAACTCTCTCGTCGGTGCAGGTGTCAAGTCTTACCCATTGTTCGCATTAAGTACGACTCCAAGTTATTCCTGACACTCTGGCCAATGTGGACCCATAGGTCGACATTGTTGCTAGGATTAGGGAGCCTTCCAGAACTTGATGCTTCTCTTTTCCCCCAGCTCAGCACAAGAGTCAAACTGTTTTAAGTCCTTCTGGCCGATGGATTCGCCTGTTTCACCTTCGCCAAATGCCATGCTACAAACCCACCGACAAGGTTTTACACCTCTGACCTCTGATCTTTGGAATAGGGTTGAGTTCGGTTTGTGAGTAGACTGATTCAACCGACATTCGATGAGATGAAGGCTCACAATGCGATGAGAGTGAATAGTGGAGAAACAACCAAAGAGACTGAGCCATCTTTTTCCCCCACCAGTCACCTACAATAAGGCGTTTATATCCGCAGTTTTCACTGTACTGCTTTTTCGACATCCCGAAAATTGAAGTAGAACAATGCTTCAGAATGCACAGCTTCACTTGATACAGCACGCTCCTCACTTGTAATGTGCGCTTCTCGGTACTTTACAATCACAATCACTGCTATGAGTTGTTTGGTTGTTTGGACTCATTTTCCTGCTACTACTAAGGGGATCAGTACGGGCTCTCGTAAGATTACGAAGGGAGGGGAGATTTTCAATCTGAGTACGGAAGAGCTGGGGGAAGGGAGGGATGTAGGCACATCCTGAGGTGTCCACGGCGTCGCATTGGTGTCTGGGTTGTGTCAGTTTTGATTTAGAAAATAAACTATTTTTGGGTGTACTTTCGTTATCCTTGCATAGATGCAACGAACTGCTGGTCAGTGAGACTTACATCAGTTTCGGTGTGACCTTGGGGACGGCCGGATGGGTTGTAGTCTCGGGAGTGTCCAATCATGTCAAACGTGATTTTATCCATCCTGTCGGGAAGCCAAAAGAGCTGACATTTCAATTCGCGCATTTTCCTCAATATTTGGTTTGTGATCCTTGTATCGATGGGAGGATTCACCTTGTTTGCCATTTCTTTACAACCGGTTGGTTCTGCGTCCACAGTTAGGTGTTCGATGCCAGACAGACTTTCCGGCTCGATGCTTACAGCCAAGGCTGTTTTGATGCGGACTCTCAACTGGGATCGCCACTGACGCACAGACGTGCCAGCATCTTTGAGACCTCGAAACCATTCAAACGTCCTGCCACTGAGGAACAATGCATCCTTTTAGCATATCGTAATGCACTTGAAGTCTCCTACACATGTTGATATCCTCAGATGTAGGTTATGTGGCCTCATTCATCACGACCCGCTGTTCTTCCATGAACGCATTGCTATTGCTCCCGCCTTAGTGATCTGTGGCATCTGAACCAGCCCACGACATGCGTACCAGCTACTAGGAGCGAGGCACACTTGGCACTTACTATTCCGTGTAGGTGTTGGTTGTGTCTGAGTTATATCAGTTATGAATGTTCCCTGTAACTGACAGCGATATGGAACCAAATTACTCTTTCCTCATCGCAGTACGATTTTCTCCATCTCACGCCACCTATGACCGCGCCGGAGGTGTTAAACACTGCGACGGGTTTGACCAGTTCTGAGATGAACAACTTCGTCAACGTCGATCCACAAACTCTTCGACACGTCAAGTTTAACAACATCTTCTCCCTTGGCGACTGCTCATCTCTCCCAACGTCGAAAACTGCTGCGGCAATTTGTATGTTTTTCCTCTTCTCCATCAATTTCTACTGGAAAAGATGCCTCTATTCAAGTTTTTTCAAGAAAAAGAGATCCATTCCGAAGGCATGTCTACTACTGGGTAGTATGTTGTCCTGGCCCCTCTCTTACACCTCTATGACCCCTTCTCACTAGTTTCCCCTCTGGTTCTTTCCTCCAGAATGGACAACTCACTACTGGTATTGAAATGGGGAAAGTATAATTTTTGCATCACTCATTCTTTGGCAAGCACTTTTGAATAGTCCCTTTGACAATTCCTACTTTGGCGACGCTTCCCATACCATTCCTTTCGACAACACTTCCTGCGAAATCTTGATTTTCGATGTAAAAGCTCTGAAGACGTAAAGCGGTTAAAATTGGCTCGTAAAGATGTTAGTTTAAACGAAACATGATTGGATGAGGGTTTCTAATAAAAGGGAGCATAATAGAAGAAGAGGCACTTCACCGATGGACTAAGCATGCTTACCTCTGCTTCAGAACCCGCGCATGTAAACAACTGTGTGTACTTGATAAGCCCCTACAAATCACACCAGAAGAAGTCACTTGAACTGTCTATGCTAAAAACTCCACGCACTTTTTTGATCGTCTCACAGTTATCCTCGTTGATAATAAAGTAGTTCGGCATCTGGAGAAGCAGCAGATGTGCTGTTCCATAGCCGAAGTTCTGCCTCTCCTAATTGTTAAGCTCGGAGCAAGTAGAAACTGCAAGGCGTGGCTTCTAAAACCTTTTTCACTTCTTTAAGACATTGTCTGAGTCTTCAACGCCTCCAATAGTTTATTCAGTTTTACTGTGGAGGTATACCTTGCTACATGGCATACATTTCGACTTATAGGGTGTCAACATCTCTGAAGTATTGCACTTTATCCACATAGCAGGAATAAACGTGCAGTCAGTTTTCCCCGGTGAGTTATGTTGCTGTTGTTTGATTTTTTTAGCTTCTGAAAGTCGGGTGCTATGTGACAATCTGACTGATGTCATTCGAGGTGGGTCCGGGAATGTTTCGAAGGTACGTCCAGCTTTATAGCAAAAAGTCTGCGCTCTCTAGCCTCTGGCTTAAGTATTTAACCATTATTGAGGCAATCTATCCTTTTTGTAGCCAGTTTGTTCAATAGTAAAAGATTTTTTGATAATTGGTCTATTATGTACCACAGTCCCTGATACACTTAAGCCCAAAGTTTTTGAGCTACTTATCCAATTTAAGTAGCGTGTACAACAGAAAGTTGACATTCGTACTAAAATCAGGGCTCACGACCTTATTAATACAATTCAATAGTTTAGGATTCCCTGCTCTGATTTGATAGGAAGTCAGACGCCCAATTGGCTTTGGTTGTATCTGAAGCGGATGCATCTACCTTAAGATACGCGTGACTTGGTACCAGCCAGGTTTGAAAAGTTTTCCAACCCAAAAGCAAGGGACTGGCATAACAAGCGTGATCACACAGGAAAGACCTTCGCATGTAGCAGTGACTACATTGTTGCCGAAGCTTTCGTACTACCATTCACCTGGTCTGATACTGGTCTGGACGCAGTTACATGTGAAGTGTCACTCCAATCGGACGCTTCACTTTCTTTCTCCCTGTCGTTCAAAAAAGCGCCAACATGTTTTGACACTAATGACTGAGTTGTTGGATTTTTGTGCTCTCGTGAACTTGGCCAACAAACGTTGCACGTTGGATAGATGACTTCGTAGAAACGACATCAGGAGCGGCTTCAGTGATGGTGCAGTCTTAACTAGCTCTTGGCCACGCTCATAATGCAATCCAAGTGTTTCTTTTTCAATACCATTAATATGCGTTGCCTTCTACCCTTAAGAGGAATTCACTGGGTAGATGAAAGGCAATTCAGGTAGTTGGAAATTCCATTTCCTGAGGTGAGAAGAGGTACTAACTTTGCTCTCGTTTAGAAAGCCGTGCCTAGTACTAACTGGAGCCAGATAGGCACTAGCTCAGAGATAACCTTATTTGGAGCATACGCGGGATTTCAGTTAGTTATTGTGCTATCATTTTGGGGTTTCGAGGGGGCATATCGTAGCATATCCTATTCCTAGTGACATTGACTTGCACAT